TATAGGGCAGCCGTTTGGAGTTGGTGAGGGCCTGTTTTTGTTTGATACCGTTGGTTGCCGCCTGTGTACATAGTGTGAATGTTATCATACATTTGCTGTGTCATAATGACCTATGAAGTGACCGACTCATGGTAAAAAACAAGTTGTGGATGCTACAGTACGAACAGTACGGTAGCGACTAAGGAGTTCGAAAGAGTTTAGTTGAGCCCCCTTCCACCCTGGTTGGCGTGTGAATCTTTTGGTTATGAGATTGGACCTAGTGGGACCAATGGATTAGGTCCGGATTACTTAGCAGTAAAGGAGAAGTACAGCAAAGCACGGAGAAGGAAACTTTATACTCTTCGGTTCTGACTGACAGTGGCTTGGACTAGCCGAGCGATACATGAGGAGCTTTGGAACTTAACAACTGAGTATGTTAGAGAACCTGGTCACAATGTCCAGATGCTGAAAGTAGTAATAAAACAATGAAGCCGTCAGCACCCATCTCCGTGAGGTAAGCCGTGCCTAGGATTTCTACTAATGCATTTGAAATGATGGATTGGTTCATGCCTTTAAGTATCGTGAATGCCTTTGAATAACNATATGGGCTGCACATTAAAGATGCAGTTCATGACATTTTTAGGGTACCTAGTTCAAAAGAATAATGGAAGTGATAGCCCAGACTAATGCAAAAAAGGCGGAAAACGTGGAAATCGCCGTGGATGTAGTTGGACAAGCTGTCCGAATGTGGTGCCATGGCGCACAGCTGGCTACAGTATGCTGGCAGTGTGTTATCCTCGAAGGACAGAGGTTTATCCCTGGAAGGAATCGCGGAAACCTTTTTTATCGTGAACTGTGCCTTCAATCATAGTAAGTCGACAGTTCTTTAGCCACTCATTCTATTTCCAGCGGGTGCTTTACCTGATTTGTGAGGGCGGGGTTGGATTAGTGATGGTAATGCGCAGCTCCATCCGAGGCTAGGAAGGAAAATATTGGGTTAGCTATGAAATCTTAGAAATATAAGCGCTTATCGAAAACAGAATGGCATGCGATACAATTTTCCGAGGAGAACAAGAGCTTTACGGTCAATATCTACTGCACATTGTGTTTATGTTTACTCTGGAATATCCCACAACTTTCCTGAGAAAAGAGCGAAATTCTGGTTCAGTCGTGTGGAAAGTTGGAAACTGACTGGAAAATCTGATTTTGTTCGTTTACACGGTGATTGCTAGCTTCCAAATTCCAAGTAAAGTCTTTAAGACTCACTCGGTTGTCCTGTTGGGAAAAACAAACACCCGTTCGCATTCATACTGTTGTGACACTTTGCTTGGTTAGAACAAACGGAAGGAAAACGGCTGCAAGTCTTCTGATAGTAGCTGTAACAGTGATTCAAAGTGATTCTTTCCAAATTCCTGAGTATTTAAATTATTTTAGATGCCAAAGCGAACTTTCAGCGATGTTATATTCAGTCGGTATTTGTTTACATTTTGTCGTGATCGTGGAAATATTGGAGGAGTCCAAAGAACTTGTAGGACTGCTGACGGCTAGCTGAGGAAGACGACGGGTGTGAAGGCTTGACTTGGTCAATTATTGATGATTAAGAGAGCAAAAAAAGACTTTTTGCACTAACACTCCTTTCAAGGGCCCCTCCCTCCCCTTATTCATTTGCTAGAAGTAAATTGCCGGAGCTTCTCGAACTCCTTTCCTTTCTTCGTCATTTGCTTTGTCTCTTCGTCGCCTTGTTTGGGCTTTTTCCGTGAACAAGGCTGTCCCTTCCCCCTGTATTCATCGCTGTATTTTAGCTTGTGAATTAAGCACATAAAGCCTATAGGAGAAAAATCATAATCATGCGAAGGCAGAGGCGTTGTATCCGTGACCACTACTTCCTGCGAGTCCTATTCATCGGAGCTAAACCGGTGACATTCTGATATTTATTCAGAATTTTTCTTTAGGTTTGATTCGTCAAACATACCACATGGATACAGCGTCATGATGTGATAATAAAATAAATAAATTAATAAATAAATAAGCATAGGCATGAGACTGGGTGAGCAAAGGGATTAGCGCAAATACAGATTTCTAGCTATTTCGTAAGATTTATGGTATTCCTAGACGCACATCTGAACGACTCCATAGTCCTGAATGTGTGATTACCGCTGATTGTTCGTGCCTGGTTGCTAGTATATATGTAGAAAGCCTTCATCACGGGACAGCTCATTGGGACCGCGAGCATTTCGGATACTCAAACAATAGTACAAATGTTGTCCTTTCATCACAGTTGTCCCAATTGGATCACTAGATCCATTCCCGTACAGTTCCTGAATCTTCCCTTGATCAACTAAAATGAGGCTAGTCGAAAGAGCGGATTTGTTTCGGATTTCGTCACTCGGGAGTGCCAAATCAGCGGCTCACGTTGCCAACAAAGAACGCCGAGAAATTGGCTTCGACCGAGTCTCGCACTTATCGCATTACCAATTGCGCCGAAAATCGTCGTGTCGTCGCCAAAGGCGTCGTCGTTGCAGGCTGGCCAGCGATGAAATCGCAAGTCGTATAGCTGCTAGTCACTGATTCGATTAAGTTGGAACAAGAAGAACTGTGGAGGGGGATGGTGAGGGGCTGATCGGCAAGCTAGGGAGACAGTATTCTACGGGTACTCAAAAATAGCACTGGTCAAATGCGTCATTACTCAGTAAACTGTACCTCTCTGTATTCCAAAGTAACCTTTCAGAGTTCTCTTGTAAATGCGTTCGCTCTATCAGTCTCGATGAAGGTTGGTCTCAGTTGGATGGTGCCAGGGAGCGTCTCACTTCCATTTCCCAAAGTTGAGCTCACCGGGTTATTAAGTAATACAGAGTAAGGAGCGAGAAGTAATCCCAATGTTGATTTTCCCGTCCTTCTTTGCGTTCCAACAACTCATCGTGTAATCGATTTCCTGTTCTATTTGATCAAGCTCTCTTCTGCAGTGACCGATCGCGATACGTGTCTTCGTCCTCTATAGGAAGCGCTTATTATTTGATTATCAAACATACTAGACGGCTGCACAGCGCTACCCGAAGACAATAGCGGCCGGACGGATTGTGGGAGGGGACGACCTCATCAGTAACATGTACATCTGATTATTAGTAGGATGAACTAAATCCCAGACTACCAGAGGCAGTCCCGAGGGAACAGAGACGCAGAGTTGGTAATCTGAGACGTTGAGTAACAGAGCTTTAGGCCAGACCGACGGCATTCCTGCTTCTGACCATCATCGGCCCTGGGCCGTGGAAACCTGGGAATTTGAAGGGACGAATTTCGTAGGCAATTTTTGGCGATGGCCTGGCTTTGTTGGACGAGTAGTGGCCGTCAAAGGTTCTATGGCCGGTTATGAATGGCTGGGATTACGTGCTCTGCTTATTTAGACGGTCGTCAGCGTTTCACGGCCGTCTGAAAAACCAAATACTTAGGCCTGGGAGTTAGCCACTGCACTGCTGAATGACCTCACGACCACGACGGCGCTCCGATTCAATTGTTCAGCCCGCTTACTCGTCGTCGTCCAGCCCTACGTGTAAGTGTGATCGGGAGACCAAAGGTGACGCCGCTGCAGTTGAGACAAAGAGGATTTTCGGGATTAAAAAACGGGGGGTGATATGAACTTTTGATGCATAAAGTATTTGTGACCCTTGAAAGAGTGGTAAGGTAGCTGTGATGGGTGTAAGTAAGGATTGAAACTATACTTAAAGGGCTGGCAAGGTTGTCTCCAAGCAATAGTGGAAAAATGAGCTGACGCATTTTCAAGAAAAACTATCTAGAAGAATATGATTTTGAATCGGGACTGGTTTCTCGAAGTCCGGGACCTTTACACTTTATATCTGCTTTTTGTACTTTTTATCTTCCCTGAAATCCTACCCATTTCTGCAAGTTCTTCGTCATATGGCTGAGAAAATAGCCTATCAAGGGCAAAATCGCGCTTTAGCTATTCGTAGTTCACATGGGCAGGGGTGTATAACTTTGGTTCTATATACACTTAGATGGAGGTCTCTTCGTCCTCCATAGTGCTGACCGTCAGACTCAACTGAACCAGTATCGTTTCTATGAACTAAAACTTCTTCAAAAATTGCACATTTCAAGATAGCAGTGAAAAGTATCAGTAAAAATCGTGTCAGCATGAAATGCGCTCAAAAAGTATAACTTGCGACATATCATTACCATTTTCATCTTGAAAACACTGAAGGCAATTTCAATATGAGTAGAGGATGAATGAAAGGCGAGCAGACTTAGAGGCAAGGCAAGGGCAACAGAAAAGGAAGTGGTGGGAAAAGGGAAAGTGCATAAATAGTGGTGACGTCACGGTAGTGGACTAATTAAGCGCAGGTCTATGTACAGAGAAAAAGAACGAGCAGGTAGGAACCTTGATGTTGTAATCGTGCCGGCAGAGGAGTTCTGGTAGAGGTCGTAGAAGTACTCATTTGACATCATGCGGTGGCAAACACCATCGAAAGTGTTTCTGAAGCTTCCGTCAACGATATTCTCTACTAATTAGTTCTCGTGTAACTGACCATAAATTGAATATATATATATACTATATCTATATATATTATATATACATATACCATATATACTGTGCTGTTATCAGACAGTTTTTTCCTCGTTGTTATAATTTTTTCTTTTTCCCGATGCTGCTTCTTTGATTTCCATGATACAGCACATACACAAGACATCATTTTGATTTTTACAAGCTGTGCTGTTTTGAGATGCTTTAATGCAATCAAATTTTTATTTGAACGGCCTATACTAGCTCAGCCAAATCTGTCAGAGTGATGTCAGCATTCGTTTAATTAATTGGTGACCACATGACGATTGAGTGGAGGGGTTAGGAGATCCCACATTTAGTACTAGGCAGTTTCGATGGAAAAATCTGAACAAAGGCTTTTCCATTATTTTAGATAGAGTAAAATGGGAGCCATACTGCTGGTACCTCCAGAACAGTGAGTAGAAGGGTAATTTGGAAGTTGGATGGGTTTCGAAAAGTTTTTATTAGAATGACCACATATACGGTCGTTTCCGAGTACAAAGAGGTATTTGCAAAAAGTTCGCAGCGAGCAGGGTTCGAACCTACGCGGGCAATGCCCATTGGATTTCAAGTCCAACTCCTTAACCACTCGGACATCGCTGCTCCGTGGGCGGTCTCGTTTGCGATGCATATGAAGAGGCGTCTGATCAGGTGAAGGCCAGTCACGGTGTAAAATGAACCCGTGATAAAAAGAGAAGGCGATGAATAGGTCGGCAAGGTGTTATTCGGTGGAGTGAGCCATGTATTGACTCCACTTCGATTTACAGAAACTTTAGAAGTATTTTTTGTGTGCGCTATGCAAGAAGTGATTGCCCACCTTTGTTGAAATCACTGTTTGTTTATTCAAAATTGAGAACTCATCGTTTGAGGATTTGAGCCTGTCGGAGCATCATTGTTTCAGAGAACTCAAATGCTTTCGTTGGTTACTAGCTCTGAAATTATGGGAGTACTCTGAACAGGATTTGACTTTCTATTGATTTGAGTTTGGAGATAGGGTAGTTAACGGCTGCCAGCAGTTGATTACTTTGCCTAATAGGTTTTCAGGACCACTTCGAGAATTTGGTTCCTTTAAATTCTATTTGTTATTAAAGCGCGAAGCAGTATGTATTTGTCAGACATCAGTACGGCCAATTTTTTAACCCTGTTTTCAAAATATATTGTTTAATCAGAGGGGTTATTTTTCAAAACCGCACAGTACCCTTGCTTCGGCGACAACATTTATAGTATGTGAGGTTAAATTCGTGTGAGACTTAAGCAAGAAGATCGTTCTTCACAACAATTCACAATGGATTTCAAACTTGACAACCTCAAAAACAAATGATATTGTCAGGAATTGACTATTGTAGGACAGGCGAAATGGAGAGGTGTGGCAAGAAATTGATTTGATCACGATATGAACGTGATACGATGTAATCAACGGAGAGGACTGAGGCTATTTGAATGTATNGAATTGGATCTTCGGTAAGCTGTGGCTGCTGTACTTCCTTTTTTGTTTCTGATGGAAAACTTGAAATTGGTTTTCTCAAAAAAAAGAAAGAAATTTTTTTTCTTTTCTATTTTTTCCGTTTCTTTTGCCGGGAAGCTCCTAATCAATATATCTTGTTCGTGGAAGTGATATTTATTTGATTTCTTGTTGCCTGGAGACCCCACTGAACTCTACCGAATGGCAGTACGAAGCACCTGCTCCCATAGCATGGACGAGACTTGATCTTTCATCGCCAACGTGATACCTCAAGTTGTAACTCAGCGACCTCAGCGAGATTGTTGCTTTTCACGCACTCTTCCACTAGCGAAACCAGTTTTCTGTCCCTCCCTCGTAAACCACAAACAGCAAACAATCGAGGTAGCAACCGAGCTAATTCTGTTGATCGTTTACTGTTGCCTAGTGATGACTGCTCGCCCTTATAGGGCACATTTCTCCGACCTTTGACTTGTTTTCGGAGCTCAGCACTGTGACTTGAGATGTCTTTCTTCGCTAAGTAACATGTGGCGATCATCATAGGCAATTAAAACTTAGTCTCCAGACCTATAGCATGAGACCTCTGTCTCATTGGACTATCCTGTCTTTTTAGCTTGAGCGCTCTTTCTGTGAAACTTAACCTTCAAACCTTTTAATTAAGCTTCGATCACAAGTAGTCTGCCCTACAAGCTAGAGCCCGCAGTTCTACAAGCTCAAGTTTAGTCGGTGTAGGGTTTAGTCATCGGTTCCAAAAGCTTCTTCTCATTCCTACGAGTCAGGACACTCGGACCTGTTGACGTACAGTAGCGCTCAAAAGTCTTCGGTGAAATGGTTCTTCAGCCTTACTTTTCAGTCGTAACTTCTTTCCTACTGGACCTAAT